TGACCACTTCCCGAGCAGCGAGGGTAAAAAAAGAAAATACCGGCTTCATGGCTCGGAGAAGGGAAATTGCGCACAGTACTCGAGCAGATGGAAGAGACTGCATGGGAATGCACTCTACCAGACGAGTTTCTATCCAGGGAATTAAGATGACATCTTAAAGGAAAATACGACAACTTTTCCTGCTACAACGACAAAAGGGACTTCTCCAGTAACCTATTATTTATGTACGCATATGAAAAATGAAATTATTAAGATTAAGTCGAGGAGCGAGCCAAAAAATTGTCCTGTTTCTTCGCGCTCATATTTCTTTTACTGGACTCTCCTGACTCGGAGAACGCTGGCTACATGTGAACGAAACAGCCAATATTCAAACATCGCTCGAAACATCAACAACTATGGGTGTTTGATTCACCTTCCTGCCTGGGAACCAAAGAAGCATGCCGAAAGGTGCACAGACTGATTGAGCCGAGATGGATGGGGGAAACCCCATGGAATCTCCCCCTCCCGTCTCTCTTTCTCCCCTTCCCCCCATTCCGAAAGACTCTCTTCATTCCGGATAAACTTGGGAAACGCATCCAATCATGCTAATGTCATTAAAGGAATGATTGTTCGGGCGAACGTGCCTCGATCCTCTGCTCCTCCTCGCTTGCTCGTCACTCCCTCATGCGAGCAAGTATATCGTGGTGGCTTCTAATCCTTGATCATGGCTCGTCATCCCTCGTGGGGGCTTCTCATCCTCGCTTAGCAAGGTCCGCAGGAGGTCGAACCTCCTTGCCAGCCTTGCTGAGGTAGACGGGGAACCATGGCTTCAACGAAGCCTGCAGATTGCAAGCAGGGACTGCACGGACGCCCTAGGCTAATTCCCTTCCTCTTTGCGAGACTGCAAAAATACTGCGGGCGGCTTGTACTTGCGGTTGAGAATAATTTCACTGCTTGAAACAGCTGAAGAAAGGCAAAAATGCACTGGCGGGTTAAGGAATTGGTTAGGTAAATCGTAAATTCTACCAAGATTTAACTGATACGATATTAATATTAGTTTCTTTTGTGTCCATGAATAAATCAAGTTAATGAATAATAATGTGTCAATATTCGAATTTTTACTGTTAGAAATTAACTTATGCGTAGTTTATTAATGTGAAGTAAGTAAAAATAACAGAAGTGAAAATACTTGAGGTTGTAAATCAGATGGATATAACTGCTCAAATTTGAGTAAAGATGATCCAAGAGCGTCGATAATGATTTTCCATGGTCTGTCATGGCCTGTCATTGCCTGTCATGGGCTGTCATGGGCTGTCATGGCCTGTCATGGGCTGTCATGACCAGACGGATCGCCGGACAACTTTATTTTCTGATCGAACTCTAATTAAAATTGCCCTGAGCACGCCACGTCAATTGCCCTGTTCTAATTGCCGTATTTCCAGCCAAGTTGGACGGGGTGAAGACGTACATGCGCCTCCGCCGGGTGCCGAACCACCTGCAGGGGAAGGTGGTCCGGTGGTTCGACTACCTCTGGCTCACCCACAAGTCGTCGGACGAGGAGCGAGCCGTCAGTTGCCTTCCAGGTCAGATATGTATCTACTTATTTAAAATAGTGTTTTATCAGGAATAGCGATTTATCACCTTTCGATGGTCGAATAAGGCCAATTTCAGTATTGCTTCAAAACTGTTTTTGCCAGAAACACCACCAAACACCATTTTTAAATGCAATTATCTACATCAACACATTTACTCCAGCGACTGACAAGCTTTCTGATTTCAGCAGAGAAAAAAAAGTTTTTTTTTCGAATTACCCGTTTCTGAATAGTTCACACCACCCGTACACAATTTTCGATGAAAAGCAACTGTTCCCATGTTGTGCACACATTCTACGATAGATTTCACTTGGTTTCACCCTTTCTGACAGCCAGGATCGTATGACACTTCACTGTTCAGCAGCGGTGCAATCCGAATTCGGGGCCGCCAATTTAAAAACTGTCAGAGACAATGTTGCCAATTTTATATTGCTGAAACGATGAGTACTTCATGTTCAGACATGCAGTCCGCAAAACTTTAAATTCACCTTAGTTAATGACTCCCTCTCGTACATGTCGTCGGGAAATACATGTCGCCTGGAAATACATGTCGTCAAGAAATACATGTCGTCGAGAAGTAGGGTAAAAGACCCAGTGATGGGCCACAGCGACATAAAAATTCCAAGAGCTAAGCTTCCATACCCCTAGCAGCATCGAAGAACATACACACTTCAGAGGTGTTCATGGAGCAAATGCCTTGTTTTTGGAATTTTCCTGCGACATGGCCCATCGCTGGGTCTTTTGCCCGACATGTCGGGAGGATTTCCAGAGAAGGGAATGTCCATCTTTCGCAAAAAAAAATCGCTCTGAGGCCGATCCATTAGCGATGGGAGCGAGAGGGCAGGGACTGCGCGTCGGTGGGGCTCGATGACCTGTGATCTATCATCTGCGATCTTTCATCATTGATCATTCATTATGCATGATCTGTTCAACTATGAAAAATTCATTATTGACAAAAGTTCTGCGAGATCCTTAACCGACGACAAAGAGAAAAATCTCCATCTCCCCTTTTTTTCCTTGCAGACAAGTTGAAGGCGGAAATCGCGATCCACGTCCACCTGGACACGCTGAAGCGGGTGGAGATCTTCCAGAACACAGAGGCCGGGTTCCTCTGCGAGCTCGTCCTGCGCCTTCGACCCGTCCTCTTCTCGCCGGGCGACTACATCTGTCGCAAAGGTCGGTCGGCCTGCGACGAGGCATTTAAATCGTCTCATGAATAAGGGAGCAATTCCCCCCCCCC